AGATTCAATCTTTTTAAAATTTAATCTTTTTCAATTTCATATTCAATATTTTTAAAATTTAAGTTTGTCAAATTTTGTTAAATTTGATAATGAATTATTACATTTTAAATTAGTCAAAATTGAGAGACTCGTAATATTTTTTAATTGACAATGAATAATAATATAAAAAAATTGTTTTGTAGTAAGTGTATAAAATGTGACAAGTATGAATACTTTCATAAATTGTATAATCACTTCACCTCTAAAAATTCCATCCTTGCATTATTCAAGTAAGATCTTAGAAGTTTCAGACCAGGGCTAGAAGGATTAGTTGCATCCACTGCGACCATTTGAGGTTCATCTCCCAAAATTGGTGTGAACTCTCTCAAAAAAGGTAAAAGTGGGGCAAGAAGACTGCCACTATTTGAATTTGGTGCAAGAGGTTCTGGAGCATAAGTACCAACCAGTATTACTTTCACATCATTATATTTGCCTCCAAAACCTATTGTATAAAAGCATCTTTGAGAAAACTATAATTTATTAATAAATATAATTATTCTTTCTTATAAAAGATTGCCAAAGTTACCAAAATTTGTTGATGCAATACGATCTGAAATAAATCGTAGCCAAAATTTTACTTGCTGAAGTTGTACAGTAAGTGGTTCTCTAAGACTGACTGTAATAAGGTGCACAGCAGGTTGTTGAAAAGTCAGTACATAATGATAAGATGCCAAAAATTCCTCTCGACCACATAATTCCCAAAAAACACATTCTCCACCTTGTTCATTAAATTTATGAATATGTATACTATTATATAATCACAAAAAAAAAAAAAAATCGCGTGAAGTTACATTCCTCACCTACATTACCGCGACTCCATTCTACACCTTGTGTACCTTCATATTCACTGTCACTATATTCAAAGCTAAGTGAGCCATGCTTGCTAGTTATATCTAATTCAATACTTGGTTCCCTCTGTACAATTAAATTATAAAAAAATAAAAATGTTATTTTTTTGTCTTTAAAAATTGCTTTTTAATAGTATATAAAGAATAATTACCTTTGCAGTATAATTCTGACTTCTTGATCTTCTAAAAAATCCAAAACTAAAAATGCCTGACTTCAGAGAATTTATTAAAGATGATTTTCCTGATGCACAATGTCCTAAAAGTCTTATATGTAAACGATCTATTGGTCTATGTGTTGGTTGCAACTGTTTAATATAATTTTCACGTTGAATAGGCTACAATATTAATTGATATTAGCATAATAATGTCAAATGTAATAAAAATGGGTTATTTAATAACATACATTTCGAAGCTTATCCAACAATGATGCAATATCAGGATATCCATATTTGATCGCTGTCACATCTGCTCTAATTCCACGATTTGTTTTATCAACGTCACAACCAGCAAGGCACAAATGTCTAACAAGATTAATGAAACCATGTCTAGCAGCCACATGTAATGGTGTTAAGCCTTTCTTATTTGGTGTATCCAGATCTATTCCATTTTCTATTAAAAAAGTTACCATTCCTTCATCTCCTGATTCACAAGCTATATGTAAAAGCGTATCTTCTTTCTATTTAAACAAACAGATAAAAATTAATCATACTTCATTTATATTATCTTTAAATTACATTATATTAAATATTGAAAAATCTCACAGAATCTTTCACATTTAATGGTGCTCCTTGCAGCAGCAATTGAGACACAGCCTCAACACAGCCTCGTTTAACAGCACTAATCATTGCTCCACCAAAACCTTGAGAGGCTTCTGACTCCTACAGAAGAACAAACATAGTTATTTAGTATTATATTATTTTATGTACATATTGTGTTTCATAATCAATTATACTACAATATACAATTACAAAGTCATATATTTTTATATGCACGTGTTGATAAAAATTTTTCCTTAAAAATGTATTATCAACATGAATAACATTTTTCTATACTATTATATAACGCTATATAAAAAATTGTAGACATTGTATATTATAAAACATAATTAAGGTACATATATACTCAATAAAAAAATTTGTTACATTTAAATTAATAATGTATATTCTGTGAGAAATAATATGTATGTATGATGTATAATTGGTATGTAACTGTACAGATGATACTAACATTAGTCACGCGATGTACATAAATAAACGTTATTTCATAAGAAATCAAAAAAATTATTGTGAATGATTGAAAACAAAAATTATAGTCAGCTCTGGCAATTACAAAGGAAATTATAATATTGCATTCAGGAACAGACCGTGAGGATCCAAGGATGTTTAAGGCACGATTCTGCAGTTCCTCTTTCTCTAAAAATCAAATTTTTTGCTATTACTTCATTCTACTTTAAACAATTCTTATATATTACTTAAACTTAGAACTTTTAACTTTACTTCTAAATTTTGTATACTTACTTTGGATCCTTGATCAACAAGGATCGTATGAAATCTTTGGCAATTTCAGATACTGAACTGAAATATTCATTGTCAAATTGATATTGACAAGCAGCAACATTCGCATATGTTTCTTGTTTATCTTCACCTAGAAATGGTGATGCACCACTTAAAAGAATGTATGTTAGAACACCTACTGCCCAAAGATCAGTTCCCAAACTGAGTGGTTCATAATTTACAATTTCAGGAGCAACAAACTCAGGTGTACCAAATAATGCTCTATGTTCTGATCCAGGTACTAATCGATGTGAAAGACCTAGATCTACATAAAAAATTAAATCAGAGAAATTTGTATTAAATTTTTATAATATTCACAATAATATTCCTTAACAGGTGCCTAATAGTTATAATTTACCTATTAATTTTATACTTGGCATTGGTGGTGGAGTTGATAAAAGAATATTTTCAGGTTTGATATCTAAATGAGCTACTTGATGAGAATGTAAATGACTAAGTGCCATTAAAACTTGACGAACCTATAAAAATTTTAACTACTCAGTATTTACTTTACATTAACTGTTTGGAACTATATTCTCTAAAAAACAATTACAAACCACATGTGCTGCTTCTAATTCACCAGATGGTACCCAATGAAAAAGTTCTCCTCCTGAAATTAATTCTAAAAGTAAAACAACTGTTGTGCCTGTGTCAACAACTCTGTGTAATGAAACAATATTTGGATGTCTTAGTCGTGCTAATAAACCTGCTTCTCGAGCTAAAACAAAAATTCAATAATTATCTAAAAATATAATATTAGATATCTAAAAATACTTACCAATATCTGCAGCTGCCACGCCTCTGGCAACTCGTCTTTTTCTCATAATTTTGGCAGCATAAAATTCTCCACTTTTTATTTCCATACATTTTCGTACTATTGCGAATTGTCCTCTACAATTTATAGTTATATAAATACTTATAATCTTATGTATTCATTGTAAATATTGACTGTGAATTACATTATGACTTACTTGCCAATTTCTTCCAATAATTTGTAATTTTTTTCAATTGGTTCATGGTGAACCTCCATTAAATTGTCCCACTCAGGACCTATTTAATAGATAATCATTTTTACATGTGAAAAATATTTACTTTATTTGCATTACTTTATCAATACAAATAGTTCTATATCTTCTTTTAATAAAACAAAAAATACAGCTGATATTAAAGCAAAAGTAATGAACTAATAAAAAATAAATTTTCATAAACATAATATTATTTTAAAAAATATCTATATGTACATATAAAAAAGAATACAAATGTTTACAAAATAACAAACATTTTATTTCTACATGACCAGCTTATTTAAAGAAACATTATTTACAAATATTTGTCAATGCAAATAAAAGAAACAAAATAAAACGTACATTCTCTAATTTTTTAAAATTAAGACGTGATACTACACAATAATAATTATTTATTAATAGTCGTTGTTCAAAACTAACAGAACATAGACACCTGTCAATCCTGTAGTAAACAGATATGAAAATCACTTCCATACATAGCCACGTGGATGTATTTTCATTAAGATCAGAATAATTGTTTATTAAAAATGTTGTTGATACGCTTCGCATCCCTTGATCATACCAAATCGCGAAGAAATATTAAACATCTGCCAGCCTTGACAGAAACATCGACACGATATTGTGTAGAAAGATTAAAAACAATTGAAAGGAAGTCGGTTTTTACCACCGTTCGAAGTTCCCAATTGGCGAGACGTGCCTGGCATCATCTCACAATCATGCTCATCGTTCAGTCTATCCGAACAGTTTTAAGTTTCTCAAAGAGCCGTTACGAAAATTGTGTCCCATTCGTCGGCCTTCACTCATGCCGGCCACCCTACACACACAATCGATATACCTGTGTCGCGTGAAACGCCACCTTCCTTAAAATGCATTGCAATCTCGTACAACCTTCTCTTAATTTTTCAAACCACTCGAATTGCTTAATTCATAATATCATTAATCAACATATACAATCAAAATTACTATAAAACTATAATGAATGAAATAGGAAACTACCTACCTTATTAATTTTTCAGATTACTTAACTAGAATTTCACGTTTTATGAAAAATGAAATACGAATTGTCAGATATATTTAAAATTTTTGTAGAAGTTCTGAATAAAAATTCAATATCTCAAATAGTAAAAGAAATTTAAATTATTTGAGATATTGATGTAGGTATACTTTGATGAATAAAGAATTTGTCAATTTTTAAATTTTAAACAAAATATCGCCTACTTAATGGAACTTAAATCAATAAGGTGTAGTATGTGTAAATTTCGAGTATGAAATCCTTCAGAAGGTAATATATAATGGTATTGCATTATAACTTTACGAAATATTAAACATGTAATGAAACAATTTATAAAATGTTGGTGTATGTATATAAGTATATTTAAAATTAATTTAATAAAATATATTAATAAACTAAAATTTTACAGAAATGATTTTTAAAGAAATAAAATTGAGTATTGCTAGTTTAACATAGATAGGGATGCAAACTGTTAAGAAAAGTGCATAGATAAATACAATATTTGCATTAATCTTTAATACCTTATCAAAGTATTTTTATTATTATGAAAATGCATACAGACAAGCAAATAATACTTTGCATAAACATGAATTAAATTTTAATAAAATTATCATAGACATGTATTATTAAATGTTAACACAAATAAAAGCTTTAGTGCAATATAAATTCAATATTCTTAATCTTTCATAGATTCTTCTGAAACTGGTGCAGGTTGACTAGGCTCATTGTCTGATTTCTTCTTCTTGCTTCCTGATACAATGTCATCAATTCTTAGCAACAAAATAGCAGTTTCAACAGCTGTTTTATATGTCTGCAATTTCACAGATAATGGTTCCCAAATACCGCGCTCTTTCATATCTACTAATTCACCAGTTTCTCCATCAATACCCCACATCAATCCTTCAGTAGCATGTTTTGCACGCAATGCAGTTAAGGTTCTGATAGTATTTGCTCCACAATTCTGTGCAAGAGTTCTTGGAATTATTTCTAATGCTTGTGCTACAGCTTTATAAGGCCACTGTTCTACACCTTCAAGCTTGGTTGCTTTCTCTGTTAGAAATTTTGATACTGCCATTTCTACAGCTCCTCCACCTTTAACATATAAATATAATATAGTAATTCATATTTTATAAGTACTCGCATATGTATTATACCATTTTAATAATAAATTACTGATTACCTGGTACTAATTTAGGTTCAATAAGAAGATTCCTTGCAACATGTAGAGCATCCTGTATGTTTCTTTCAGTTTCATTTAATACATCTTTGCTGGCACCTCTTAAAAGTATAGTGCATGCTTTGGGATCTTTACATTCAGTAATAAAGCAGAAGTATTCATCACCAAGTTTTTTAATTTCAAAAAGACCAGCTTTAGTACCAACATCTTCCTCTCGTAATTCTTCTGTACGATTAACAACAATGGCCCCACAAGCTCTTGCAATTCTATTAATATCACTTTTCCTTGTTCTACGAATAGCAGAGATTCCAGCTTTGACAAAATAATGTTGTGCTAAGTCTGATACTCCTTTTTCAGTAATTACTACATCAGGTTTTACAGAAATAATATCTTCACACATTTTCTTAACAAATTCCTCTTCCAATTCTAGAATTCTGGTAAAATCTGTATCTTTCATAATTTCTATGTTAGTTTGAGATTCTCCCTTTTTATATTCCAAGGAACAATCTAATAAAACTATTCTTGGATTTTTAATATGTCTTCTCATTTTTGGATGAGTAACATCTTTATTAAACATTATGCCCTTAAGAACAGTGCTATCTTCAATAGTACCACCAGGAATTTTTTCTACCTTTGCATAACGTTTTATATCTATTTCTCTTCTACCATTCTCTTTAAGCATAACAGTATAAACTGCATCTAAAGCAATTCGACATGCTAATTCACACCAATGTCCAATAAATTTAGTTTTCACACATGAATTAATGACTTCAATCAATTTGTTTCTATCATTGCAATCCAAATCCACACTAACTTGTTCATTAAGAATAGTAACCATATCCTCCAAAGCTTGACGATATGCTCTTATTATAACTGTAGGATGCATATTTTGTTCAAGAAAAAGTTCAGCAGTAGCTAATATTTCTCCTGCTAATACAATAACTGATGTAGTACCATCTCCAACTTCTTCATCTTGAGTTCTAGCTATTTCTATCATAGATTTTCCAGCAGGATGTTGTACTGTTATTTCACGTAATATAGCATTTCCATCATTGGTCATAACTATACCACCCATTGGATCCATTAACATTTTTAACATTGCTCGTGGTCCCAGACATGTTCTAATGACATCTGCAATAGCCTTTATGAAAAAAAATATATAACATTAAAGAATTTATAGATACATTTAAAATCTGTAATTATATTTGAATTTATTTTATAAAATACCCAGATGAACAATATGAAATTAGATAATTATATGTTCATTTCAAAATTAAAAAATTTATTCAATATTTTACATCTAAATTATTGATATTATTTAAATGTAATAAATATTAGTTATAAATAATATAAATGGATTTAAAAAAAAAAAATACACGTGGGCGTATGAGCATTTGATGAAAGCCTTAAAAGGTAAATATGTAAATCATACGTTGCAGAAACTCACCTTCCCGGCTTGGATATTTTCTCTTTGAACTTTTCGACCGGTATCACGTTTTGTATTTTGACCTGCAATAATCAAAGCATACGGCATCACGAAAAAAAATTTCTTGATTTAATATTTGAACAAATGAAAAACAATTAACATTGTTTTAACATACTTAAAACTACAATCGGAGCAGCCCTTGGACCAAACATTTTTCTTCAATTTCTGAAATAGTAAAATACTGTGACAGAAAACGATACTCAAGTACACGCCTGACTTTTCTAGAAGAAAACGAAAGACGAGACCCTGTAATAATTGGTTAGAAATGAGAATGACGATTGGAGAATAGTCCTAGCGTAAAATACTTTACTAAATGTACATTGCCAACAAAAATGCAAAATATCCCTATGATTTTCTTCGCCTTTAGTGTTCTAAAAATGTCTAAAGTAAATAGTAATATAAATACAATAGAATTCTTTATTATTTATATAATATTATATATATCGTAAAAACAAATATTTATAATAAAAATATGGAATACTGGTTGAACAAATGAATATAAGTTGAATACGATCCTTACAAATTAATGTACTAAAAGTATTTTTATATTTGTTGGTTTTACTAATCTTGATAATTGAAATACTATTACTAAACGCAATGTATAAAGCCATTGTTCTAACAAGAAGAGTGCAAGTCGTTCGCGTCACCGAGTTAGTTAAAGCTTTGCAGGTTTGTAGATTTCGTCTTGCAGTTTAAGAAAATATATCATTATAATCACAACTACTCAATAGTTTTTGCGATATTCATAATTAAAGTTTTCTTACATCCCAAATTCTTAACTTATTTCCAACAAATTTCACGTTAGGTCTTGGTCTAATGGCGACAGTTAAGGATTCTGAAGCTGGCAGAACCAGGTTCGATTCCCGTCTGTAGTTGTAGTCTCTTTTTTTCCACCTATTTTTTATTTTGTATTCATTTTTCGTCTATAAAAACACTGTAAATATACAATTGTAAAAAAAATTTCTTAACAAAAGAATTTATTTTTTACGCTATCTTATGCTAGTATATATTTGTTACAAAATAATAAGAATATTATGCAAAAAAGCAGTCTTCTATAGCAATCTTATTCATTACAGGAAAAATATAAATAATTATTAACAATAAATTAAGTAGCATGAAATTATGTACAAACATTGTATAAGAATGTTGTCTATAATTCCAACTTTGCTCTGCAGCTATAAATGTTCATGAATTAATTACAAAAACTTGGAAATTTATTGATTTTCTACTGCCGAAATAATTTATTAAAATGTATTAGGAGAACATAACCAGGAGAAGTAACTAGTTCGAATAAAAATTTTCCCGCCTGCGATCAGCGCCATCTATGATTTTCGTCCAAATGCTCGGAAAAGTAATCACACAAAAGAGTGTAAGCTTAGTATTAACATAACCTCTAGTTGTAATTAAATAGTGTAAGTTATGAGCTATCGTTTTCCCACCTTTCATTAGTGATAGCAGAAGGTTCTGAGAAGACAATATTTTGCTGAAATGAACAGGCACGTGCAAGTATAGAAAATTATTGGACTCATGGAATATCATCGGAATAGATGCCAAGAATTATATTTTATAGAGAGAGAAAGTTGAAGCAGCAATACAAATATGTAAGGTATGATATGTCTATTGAATTCTAGGTCGGCTAACCATATCACATACAAGATAGAAATCTTTGATGGTCAAATAAAGATTTAGAAAATGGAGATGGTTTAGGCAGACAAAAAGGAATACAATTGATTTAGGTGATGGCTCCTTATAACAACAAGATATGGAGAATACAGTGAGATTGAAAGGTATGTTGTATTCCTGATTTAAATAAATATTAATATCAGTGGTCAAAGACAGTGATCATCGCTAATGCGTTAAGTTTCAGAATGATGGGTTTGAGGCATATAAACAAAAGAGAGAGGTTCGAATGAAAGCAGTGAGAAGAGGGAATGCTTATTATGCGGATACAAGAAACAGAAAAGGGGCTGCTTATGTATCAACAGAGAAAAATGTGTGGCATCGACATGGAAATATGAGGATCATTGAAGAGATGGAGAACGAACACTTGGTAATAGTTGTGAAAGTTAAAGATATATTGAATATAGAGTGTAAATGTTTTATTAAGACAAAAATGTGTATAAATTTTTATAAGAATTTGGCGTCTTTAAAAGCCATAGTAGTAACGGGTTTGTTTATAGAGCCAATGTCAAAATGGGGTAAAAGGTATGTCTTCACTGCTGATAATTATTGGAGAAAGAACCATTTGGTTGACTGATTTGTAAATGACCAATGATTTAATATGAAATATTATTGACGACGTATTTGTTTTATTAAAGAAGACTGACAGACATGAGTAATACTTATTTACAAGAGTCATCTACCATAGGTGACGTAAGTAATAGTTAATAATATTACAATGGCTTTTATATCTATTTTTTAAAAATCTAGACTTCTATATTAATATATTAAATAATTTGTAATTTGAATTACAATAATCAATAATAAATTTTAATAAATTTGATTTTAAAAGTATTTTACATTAGTAAGACTAATATATTTGTTATAACTAGATTATAATGAAGACAACTGTTGGTGACATTGAGTTAGAATTATGGGTAAAAAGAACTCCAAAGGCAAGTAGAAATTTGACACAATTATGTATGGAAGGTAATTAGGATGACACTATATTTCATAGAATTATCAAAGGATTCATAACACGAGATGGTGATCCCATAGATCCGGGAGATGGTGGTGGAAGCATATATGAAGAACCATTTAAAGTGGGACTATATTTAAAAATAAAACGAATTCCTTTTTTATTCAAAAATAATTATTGGATATATGTGTTTTAGGACGAATTTCATACACGATTACGTTTTCGTCGATAAGATTTAATTGCTATGGCTTATGCTGGAAAAGATGGCAATGATTACCTTTAATGGTAATTACCTTTAAATAGGGTATCCTTCAATTTCTCGATTTTTCCACGGATTTATTTCATA